ATTGAGTCTCTATAGAACTTCTGTAACAGGTAGGGATTGGGTCTCTATAGAACTTCTGTATCAGGTACTACAGGTAGGGATTGGATCTCTAAAGCATTTCTGCAACAGTTAGAGATTAGATTTATAGCATTTTTGTAACAGTTAGAAATTGGATCTTTAGCATTTCTGTATCAGGAAAGGACTGAATCTCTATATAGCATTTTTGTAACAGGTAGGGAGTGAATCTCTTCAGCACTGCTATCTTATTTTTAGGTCACCTAAGTTGTTCTGCTGTCCTTTTTCCTGCAATTTTTTAAGAATAACACTAAAATATAATTCTTATTAAGGTTTGAATCTGTTTATATTTCTGATCAGCAATGTGGTAGAAGTGAAAAACGGTTCACCGCTGTGTATTTCTAGGTTTGATACATAGTACAAAATCTTCATTTTCAGTTCAGTTGGTATTTCTGTCAGGATCGTCATTCAGTCAGGTTTGGCATAAGGTATCAAGATGCTCCTCGGTATAATTAGTACAAAAAATTTAAATTTTTGTGGACTGATGGTTTGTAAAATAATTTTTAACAGTCAGATCAATATTAAAACTTGTCGAAATTTTAAAATCACTGTCAGACATTTGGTCTGACAAATTCAAAGGTTCTGTCAGACCAGTCAATGTTTCGTCAGACCAGATACATGTACCTTATTTTGACGCTGTGAAAGTCATATGAATAACAGCACCAAAATGCCCTGGATTATAATACCCCCCGCAAACGAAGTTTGGGGGGGGGGGGTATAGAGGAATCAGCTTGTCTGTCTGTCTGTGCAAACGTGTACGGTCCATGTCTTTCTTACGGAGGAACATTATAATCTACTACTTCACACATAGATTGCTCATGACCTAAGGGTGTGTCATGATCTTGACCCATGTAAGCCTAAATGAAATCCAAGAGAGTGCATTTACTGAAATATGTAGCCAAAATCAATGTGACTAAATTCTAAGGAATATATACAATTGAAATTCATCGCAGCTCAATGCTGCCAAAAATACCTGTATTGAGTAGCACATAGTGAGTTATTCCTCGGAGAAACAGACTTGTCGAATTTTTTTAATTACTGTCAGACATTTGGTCTGACAAAATCGAATGTTCTGTCAGAGCCGTCAAACTTTTGTCAGACCAGATACTTGTACCTTTATGTTGAAGCTGAAAAAGTCATATGAATAACAGCACCTAAATGTACTTTATTTTCAATAGCCTTCAATCTAACAAGTTTCCTTTCTTGTGTGGCGGTCAGCCGGGTTCGATCGCCGCTGGCCAGATAGCTCAGTTGGTAGAGCACCTGACCGGAGTTTCAGGGGGCCCGGGTTCAAATCCCGGTCTGGTCCGCTGCATTTTCTCCTCTCCCGTTACACTTGGGATAGAGAGTCTTTAACATAGACATAAATGACAAGTTTTATGACTGCTATAACAAATTTACTTAGCTATCGTCAATATGCTGCGTACGTGGCCATTTTTTCTGGGTTTGTGACCTTTAATTGCGCATCCCGATCCCGACCATTATTAAATTTGCATTACGCTCAATTTCTTTCAATCGGTCATCTGGACCAACGTTTTCTTAAATGTTATCGGTCCAGACAAATTTTTACCGGCCTTGCCGACAGGACCGACGGATTTCGACAAGTCTGAGAAAGTGTGCTTATACTGAGGTTCGTTCCGCCTGACTGACAACTGTACATTGGATTGTTACGATTTGATATCTCTTTAATTGTTTCTTATATCAAGAATGGGCATGCATAAAGGATAGATAATTGAAGAAAAAATACACAAGTCTTAAAAAAAATTAAAATAGTCTTTGAAAAGGCGAAATTTAAAACTTTAAAAATGTTGTACCAGGTGGATTCGAACCCCCGACTTTAAAAAGAAACTAACCAAGGTGTAAAAGTCAGCGTATATATATCAACTGAGCTAGTCTGACTTTAACAATGAATGGCATAAAGAAAATGGGCGCATTTGGCGTGTGATATGCAGGAATCATTTGTACGAAACATTTATGGTTTAAATGTCCATGATTTGGTTGGTGAACATAGCTGGTCAGATTTTACATACACGTCCATAGGTGTTTTTTTTCATTTAGTTTGAAAGACCTTGTGAGATTGTAACATTTATGTCCGTTTTTCCTAGGGGGTACTACAACATTGTAATGTTTCACAAAAAATAAACACCTAAATATTGAATGTATACTGTAAACCAATTATTATACGCGTCATTTTTTATTCGCAACTGACCGCTAGAGAACTAATCCGCGACTATTTATTTCCGCGAACAAGTGGTCATATTTTTTTTTATTTCCACAAGTATTTTTTTTTTGTATCAAATTAAAATTTTATATCCGCCCATAAACTAGGTAAAATGCTACCGTGAGTACTGCTTACGCATTATCATTCAAGACATTCTGTGCATTGCGTCCATTTAAAATCTTATATCCGCACCTAAAGTAGGTAAAATACTTCTTACGCATTATTCACGATGCTCGAATGAAAATCTGGAAAAAAATCGAGGAGATTAAAGTTGATTTCAAACTGTCAAGTGTAAAAGTACCTCATGCTAATTGGGTAATTGACACTTTACAAGATCTACATAGCCAAAGGGCAATTATTATAAATGGTTGGGACAGAGCAGGACTTGGCCATAATTAGTCGTAATTAACCAGGCTATCTCTAACTCGTCTGTGACAATAAAGAACAATTGATAACACAAGCTGAAATAATTATTGACATTTTAATCATTTTTAGACAAATAGTTTTAGATTCGCCATTCGTTTATATATTTTTTCTGAATGTTTGTAATTAAATTTCAACTGCTTCTAGAACACTCAAGTTCTTCCGTGATTACTTATTGAACCGTCGGGATCGGTATTCAAAAAGGGCAGATAACTCTAATCATAACATGGGAAAATGAACAACTTGTTCGCGACGATAAATATCCGCGAGCAGATGTTACTCGCGGAACTCGCGGATATTTATCGCACACGTTTAATACTTGGTTTACAGTAGATGCATGATACGTGTACATGTACATTATAGAATAGAAGATTGGAATTGATTTCGCTCTAGAACCAAACTGAACCAAAATTTATTTAATTCAAAATTTTGATACATCAGTACATAAAATGAAACTGACAAAATAAATGATTGTTTGCATGAAAAAAAAAAAACGCCCTATGCCAGGCTTGAACCAAAAACTTTTCCCATCTCGCGCATTGAACAGGTACCCAACTTACTTACCTATCACGCTTCACATGTACAAATGATTTAAAAAAGGACAAAGAAGCACCACATTCAAGCATTTAGATTTTTTGGGAAAAACTTCATTTTTCGTGGTCTCTGGGTCTTCTCTCCATTTTTTAAAAGTGTTTATTCGTTTCTTTGAATTAAAATACACACAAATAACATTTCAAAATCATGGAGAGAGGACCCAGAGATAGAATTTTTTTTTAAAAACGTGTTTAAAAATGTACCACTTTGTACCAAATGTCTGATCTAGCCAAATTTCAAGTTATTTTTTAGCAAATCAGAGCTAAATTAAGGTGTTTGGCTTCTGACATTAAAAATAATTGAAAATGATTTTCTTCTTTTTTAATTGTAAGAATAAACATAATAAATTATTTTAAGCCAGAAAAATGCATATGAATATGATTTAATTTTCAAGCTATAGGTGTTCCTGACAAAGGGAGGTAATTCTCTCATTTTAGTAAAGAAAAAGACCAAATTTGTGTCCAACATATTTAATATTTATTTTAAACTATGAAATGTTTTCAAATCATTCCAACCTTTTGCTATCTTTTAAAAGTAGTCATAGGGAATATAAATATTGATAAAATAATAATGATAATTGATAGAAGATAAAATTTAATTCTTATCAAAAAGCACACACCCTCATACAAAAAAATGCCTTTTTTCCCTTTCACAGGGCTTATAAAATGAGCTTGGAAAATAAATTAGAAATAATTAACAAGTATTTTTTTTTCTATATATTTGTTACTTAGATGAAGTGCTTTCAAATGGTGTAAAAAATTGTATATCAATATGAGTTACTTTTAAAGATATTTTAACTTGAATTTCCTCTGACCCATTTTTCTCAAATTTTGACCAGAGGAAATTCGGATTGATTCTGTTTGCCTCTTCCATGATTTTGGGGGATTTTCTATTTGCCTAAATGAATAAGTGTATTGAAACTCAATCTTTTTCTTTAAAAGAAAAGGGACATTTCATTTTTTGGGGGACTATTTAAGACTTAGGGGAAAGAGGGGAGGGTGGGGGGGGGGGGGTTTAATATCTATTTTCATGCCCACTCACATTACCTGAGGATAATTCTTTAATAGTTTGACTAATCATGGCTTTGCCTGTTCTGAGTTGAGAGAATTTTACAGACATTTCAAATATTTTTCTATGCATACTTTGCTCCACTTGTGGCCCATCCTTCCCCCAGGAATTATTGAATATAGGGTATGTAATGAAGCTAAATTTCACGTAAATGTCATCTTTTCTTCAGTGGTTCTTCAGAAGATTTTTGAATAATGCCACCAAAATTCTTAATTACCCCCCACTTCAAGAGGGCGAGACACTTCCTATGAACAAAGTTAAATCCCCTTAATTGAAATTGGGCCAGTTGGTCTTTCAAAGAAATAAAATATATCAAACTTTACACACCCCAGACAAAAGACCGATTGCCAGACAATCTTTGATCAGAAAAGCTCACTCGGGCTTCCGTGTCAGGTGAGCTAAAAACCACCACATAGTAATCATTTCACTATAAACGTTTCACAGCAAAATTCCAGTTATTGAAAATGAAGGGAATAAAAAAAAAGACTAAATGAATGTTTTGAACTACTAGTTGTACCAATAACAGCTAGTTTAATTTGCGTCATGCAATGTAAATCTCTCTTGATTTCATTGTATCAAACAAAATGTTCTTTATTCAAGATGAAAAATGATCAACTATTTAACTTTATTCAGATCCATGTTTCCTTGTGATAGAGATCTATCAAATTGTTACCTTTACAAGTAACATACAACATTTTTATATACTGCAAACATTAGATTTTTTGTGCCTTTGACAGAAAACTGCTGTTGCTATTTCAAGAACATCGCTAACTTTATGACCTGCGTATTTATAAGTACACAATAAAAATTTTGCTAGAAATCAAACCTAGCCCGATTGTTGAAAAATAGATTACTGCCAAGTATAGGTCATACACAATATTAAACATTTACAGAATGTCTTTTCATATTCATTTGTGCATGTTTCAATTTAATATGCACATAGTCTTCTTCAATAAATATCAATGAACACCTTTTAATTTTTCATGTATGCTCAAAATATGGGTAATGAAAATAAATTGTTGTCAATTTCTAAATAAGGATTTATTTTGAATGGAAAGAAAATGTTTTGTTCAACTACAAACTACCTATAACAATAAACATTGAAAAAAACAATAGTTCATGGCATAATTATACCCCTGCTCTGAAGCACAGGGTTTATACTGTTTTTCTTTCTACACTTGTGTGTCTTTCTGTCAGTAACAAATTTTTGTCCAATTTTTCTCAGCAATCACTCATCATGCTCAATTGCTCATCACAGATGCTTTAAGTTTTAGCACACTCTTTCTTTAGCCATGCCGTATGTTGGAATTGGTTTTAGACGAATCTGATGTCAACTTCCTGATTATCTGTGCATTTGTCTGTACCACAAATAGTAAATTTTTGTCACAGTTTTCTCCAAAACTACTCATCACATTTGGAATTGGTTTTAGACGAATCTGATGTCAAATTCCTGATTATCTGTGCATCTGTCTGTACCACAAATAGTAAATTTTTGTCACAGTTTTCTCCACAACTACTCATCACAGTTGGAATTGGTTTTAGACGAATCTGATGTCAACTTCCTGTTTATCTGTGCATCTGTCTGTACCACAAATAATAAATTTTTGTCACAGTTTTCTCCACAACTACTCATCACAGTTGGAATTGGTTTTAGACGAATCTGATGTCAACTTCCTGTTTATCTGTGCATCTGTCTGTACCACAAATAACAAATTTTTGTCACAGTTTTCTCCACAACTACTCATCACAGTTGGAATTGGTTTTAGACGAATCTGATGTCAACTTCCTGTTTATCTGTGCATCTGTCTGTACCACAAATAATAAATTTTTGTCACAGTTTTCTCCACAACTACTCATCACCGTTGGAATTGGTTTTAGACGAATCTGATGTCAACTTCCTGTTTATCTGTGCATCTGTCTGTACCACAAATAACAAATTTTTGTCACAGTTTTCTCCACAACTACTCATCACCGTTGGAATTGGTTTTAGACGAATCTGATGTCAACTTCCTGTTTATCTGTGCATCTGTCTGTACCACAAATAATAAATTTTTGTCACAGTTTTCTCCACAACTACTCATCACAGATGCTTGAAATTTTTTAGACATGAAATATGGTTGGATTCATTTTTGTACGAATCCATTGTCAATTAACTTTGTTTATTCCTGTCTGTCCATATTCACATCAGAGTGAGGGTATTACTAGTGAGCACTGGCTCACAGAAATCAAACAAACAAACAAACAACCAAACAAACAATAACATAGTTACATACAAAGAACATCATACAACTGCGTTACTGCTCAGATCTGAGAAAATCTGCAACAGAATCAATGATTTTTCTAGATTTTGTCACACGCACACTGTTATCTGTTATCTCTGTCAGCACATCCTGTACTCCCTCCCTACCATTTCTGCGATAAGCCAGTTGTAAGTGTGATAAGGAGAGTCCACTGCTGGCAATCTTATTTCCCATTCCATTCGAAATCACCTTTTGGTCCAATAAAGGCTTTAGTGTGCTCATTAGACTTTTTGTTGTGCTCTTGTGATGGAATATGGCAAAGGCAGAGTTTGAAGTGAAAGATGCAGCAAGTTTGACTTCAGGGGAAGGTCCTGTATGGTCCAACAATCTCTTCAAGGCTAAGACATCCTGTAATGAGTCATGCGCACTGTATTTGTCTTGTAGAATTTCTTCGAAGAGGTGTAACTGTGAGTATGATGAAAGGTTTGGATGCGAAATTTTGAAAAGAGGTAAGGTATCAATGAAACCAATGACTGCAGATGAGAATGCCTCCAAAATGTTTAATTTACTCAAAATGTTGAACAGCACAGGAAGGTCAAACACTTTGGAGTTGTGTCCAACTAGAACAGCATCTGACTCCGATTTCTTCATGAAGTCGATAAACTGGATCAGTGCATCCTTAATGCTGACTGTCTCAACTTCCTCATCATTGTGGTACATTTTATTGTTGACTACTTTTATTCCAGTAATTTCTGTAGCTTTTGAGGACATTGGTTTTTCTGGAATGATGTATTTGTTGAAAACCTCATCATTTCTAACTGCAGACAACTGCACAATATGAGAATCCCTTGCTAAAAATAAAAAACAAATAATTTAATTTTGATTGTAACGCATCATTTGATTGGATAAAAAATTAATCTAAATTGTATAATCTGGTTTGCTTACGTCACAATGACTTACATCAAATTGTATCAATCCGCTTGACGTTACGTTTAAAATATGAACTATTTGAAGGCGTTATAAAGAGAAAATTTGTCTTGTTTTATATTCTTGATGATTGAAAATTAAATCATAAGGAGTGAATTAAATGGCAACCCAAATTATACTGCTACAACCTGGGTTGGAGCAGTTTACGCTTTTTTATAAACCACTTTGAGGTTTAGAAAGCGTAAACTGCCCCAACCCAGGTAATACAGTATAATTTGGGTTGCTATTTAATTCATTCCTTAAGTAAATTCAAGTTTTTAAAATTAAAAGCATTAAAAAAAATACATACAAAAATTGATATATTGTAAATGTATTATATTTAGCATGTATGATATTTGGCAGAAATTGACTTTTGAATAAGTAAGCGTAGATTTGATTTAGCGCATTTCTTCATTTTCTTCTTTATGTGTATATGTGCAAGACATTTAGCGTTGTACTTGATTTAGCGGTTGCTGCGTTTCGCCAAATCCGCTATTAGAATACACAGCCAAATGTAATCCGTTTACAGTATGCATGATTTAAAAAATTTTGAAACATTATAATAATAGTAACCCTCTTCCCCAAGACTTAACTCCTTCAAAGATGCTTGAATTCTTTCAGAATATGCAATTTCTTTTTAATCAGTGTCCTCAGAAGGAAGGGTAAAGTTTTGAAAGATATAAAACATGCTCAACTACTTGTACCAATACCGGAATTATGCAAGAGTCTCCATTTCTATTCGTTTTCTATGATAACTTTAGTATTATTCCTTCAAAATGCATACAAAAGAAATACCGGAAGAGGGCCATAACCATCAGCATTGACTTAACATTTAAATCTAGGTTCTTACCGAGTCCAGTAGTTTCCAAATCAAAATAGATCTCTTCAGCATTTAACAGCTGACTTGAAGGGAGATGATCATACTTTGGAATTGTTTTTGGAGCTGGAATTTCAACGATGTCAGAGGCCTGCTGGAGATCACATCCTGTTAAATAACTGATGCCTTCCCTTGTTTCTTTTGTAGAAATACTTTGAATTCTGTAAAGAAGATGTATACTGTAAAACAAATGATTCTAAACTGAGGTCTTACAAAAGGCCTAGCAAAATAAACAATCACCTAATGTACAGCTAATAAATTAGGAGTTGTAAATAAATGAAAATCCTGAGCACATCGGCAAGGAAAGAGCACAAAGTAGACCAGAATAGAAAAGTTATGGTACATGTAATTTACTGAAGGGGGGGCTTAAATTTTATCACTACTTAAGAATGCCTCCATATCAATACAGCATATAACTTTTTTAACATTTTGTTCGTATATATTACTTAGTAATAATTTGAATTTGATTCCCCACTGTTTCCCTCCCTACCACAAAGGATCAGGATTTAAACAAATTTAAATCTTCAATACATGAGGATGTTTACATTTCCATATGACTAAACATAGCTTCTCTTTTTTTTCGGGGGGGGGGGGGGGGGGGGGGGATTTTTTCCCTTTATTTTCCTATGTAAAACTTTGATCCACCATGTATGATTTGAAAAAAAAAATTAATTCTACTTTACCTGAGGATGCTTCCATATTAATATCACCAATCATAGCTTTGCTATTCTTGAGAATTTTTTAAAAAATATATTGTACTGTAAAATGCAATTGTGGCCCCACCCTATCCCTGGGGGTCATGATTTAAACAATCTAGAATCTACACTACCTGAGGATGATTTCATTTCAATATCACTTATCATGGCTTTGCAGTCCTTGAGAAGATTTTTAAAGATTTCAAATTCTCTATATATTCCTGTGTAAAACTTTGATTGGCTATGTGGTCCCACCCTATCCCCCAGGGTCAAGATTTGAACAAACTTGAATCTACACTACCTGAAGATGATTCCATATGAGTTTCATCTTACCTGGCCCAGTGGATACTAACTTTGTAGCAAGTTTGGTTGAAATTGGCCTAGTTGTTCTTGAGAGGAAGATGGAAATGTGAAAAGTTAATGACAACAGATACATTTTTATCAGTAAAGCTCACTTGAGCTTTCCGCTAAGGTGAGCTAAAAAACTGGGTATGTAGGTAGGTAAAATTTTTATTTTAAGATTGCAGCAAAGCAATATGCCCTCCCTTCTTTGAAAAAAATATTTATCAAACCATGCTATTTATAACAAGCATACCGTAAATCTTTGGTGATTCAGAAAACAAATCTTAGTAACATGCAAGATATTAATTCCCACTTAAATTCATACTTATCATCATTCACTTGTTCTTGGTTTATTTTCATTTTTGAGGTTGACAAAAGGTTTTTTACACCTGACAAATGACAATCAAAGTATACTAGTACGTACTTCCTGGCTTTCAATTCTCTCCTTCTCCTTTTAAATTTCTGTGTCACTGAAATGGCCTTCTGTCGCTTTCTTTGCAAATCCCTCAGAATGCACTGTCGTCGAGTATAGTAGCCAGGAGAGAGGCCCAATTTCTTGTTAACCTTTAATAAGGATAAAAGAATCTATTATGTACAACTACAATGTACATACATATACAATACAATCTGCTTTTGATTAAAATTTGCAGAATTTTCAAATGTAAGAGATAACTTGAGTGGTTCAACTCAGATATGACACAATAAGCATGAAAAAATAAAAATTTACAAACCTTTACAAGATATCTGTGTCCAACATTTTTCTGGGCTACACATGCAGCAACTCTATATCTGAGGCTTGAAGAAGAGCTGTAATGATGGGTCTTTGGGGCTTTTGCAGACACCATTCTGTGAAAACTCTCATTGGACTGTGTGCTTCCTAAGCATGAAAGACGATCAGAATGACTTGCATATGAACTGAAGACTTCTTTCAGATCATCCTGAAGGAACCTATCTTTCAGGGGTTTTCCATGTGGAAGTGACTTGTACCTCAGGTTAGGGTTGTTAATGAAGTTGCACCACCTTGAGGAGCAGTGTTGGTGATCTCCAAATATGTGTAATGGAATTGATGAAAGGTCTTCTTTGATTTGAGAAGCATTTCCTTTTCCCTGTGCTATGGAGTAACTGAAGCATTTCTGAATGTACTTTATCACAGACAAAGTTAGAGATGAATGTTTTTTCTTCAAGGTAAACAAAGAGTTTGTAAACAGTTTCTTTAGATGATTTTTATCAGACAACTTCTTAATATCAGCATTGACATTAGCTTTCAGTCTTGCAATAGTGGTAGAGTCCTCATCTCCAATGATTCCATCAATGGTTATTCCTTTACTTTTCTGTAGATCTTGGACCATCTCAATAACCATATCTGCCTCCATGGCCTTTGAACTACCCTCCCAATTCTTTGAGCACTCATGGGCTGCTGGATTCTTGTTGGTTGATTCAGCTACACTGCATACTCTGCAATTCTTAGACCTCAGAGAGTATGACAATACTTTGTCGGAGAGAGGACCAACCATGGAACAATGACCTGAAAAATTACAATTAGACTGTATAACTGAGAATTTAGAAGCCACCAGACATTTCCTTGTTTCTGGCCTTTGTATGCTGCTAAGCATTTTTCATGCAATTTCTTAACTTACATAAAATGTAATGAGCAGAGGAAAATCAAACTTTGAAAAACTGTATAACCCCTTATAGATGTATTACCGTTGTAGCATATAATTAGGTCAAAGCATATTTTCATGCTGTATAATTAATCGTTCAACTTTAAAAAAACAGTAAAATGTCTTAATTCAAAAAACTACTTTGGCAACAATGCTTTGGTAAAAATCTTTTGTGAAACTCATTAATGGCTTTAAAAACTTTCATTTCTGACACCTGGATCATTGGATTCCTATTTTTAATTTTTTGGCCGTATATCGAAATCTACTTTCGTTTTCGACAAGATCTATAAGACGCGATACGCAATCTCTTTTGTTTCATTTATTCAAACGCTTTAATGATCTTTTTGACTAACCAATCAAAAACGTTTTTGTTACAAACTACGTAACCACAATGGCCGGTACTTTGAACGTCCAACCAAAAAATGCAGGCCTGACCAACCATGGATTTAATTGAAAAATTACAAATTAGAAAAACTGTATAACTTATAGATGTATTCGTTGTTTTTATTAAAGCATTTTTCATGCATTTCTTAACTTAATAAAATGTATGTCTTAATACTTTGGCAAGGAAAATCAAACTCGATCACTGATGTTACATGTATGCATTTGGTAATAACCTTTAACCCCTTTAGTCAGCAATGAACCTGTGCGTCCAGTGCACTATAGCATAATTAGGTCAAATATTTATTTTTCATGAGGGGTGCTGTATAATTAATGCAAATCGTTCAACTTTAAAAAAGTAAACAGTTGCTATAAAACGTGTTTGCAGGATGCAATAGGGACCAAATTCCTACTTCTTTGAAGTTAGTGTTCTAAGTATTGACAATGCTTTGGTAAATAATGTTTCTAATAAGTGTCGTTAAAAATTGGTTGCGTGCCATAGAGCGATTAGCGAATACGCTAACTGTGTAAAATCACCTAATATTTTAATATTTTGATTTGACTCATTATGACTCTTAATGATTTTTCTCCTATATATATTCCCGTGTAAACATTATATCCTTTTTTGGCTCCATCATCCCACCTTGGGTCCATATTTCGAACAAAACTGAATATGCTTTACCTGCATGAGCAACATAACTATTCATGGCTGTTCTTTAGAAGAATATTTTACAATTTATATGGACAGTTGAACTTTGAGATATGTGTCTTTCTAAATTTATTGCATCTGTATTGCAAGATATTTTTCAAGAAATAAATACTTATTCGTGGGCATAAAATTTTGTTGTTTTGACATCAGAATTTTGAAAATCTTGTTCAATTTTGGGAAAAAAGAAGAGATTTTGCAATTGGGAATGGGGCCCATTTTCGGCCCTACACGGGGTAGTGGAAAATCCCTGCTTTGAGATATGTGTCTTTCTAAATTTATTGCATCTGTTTCGTGGGCATAAAATTTTGTTGTTTTGACATCAAAAATAATCTCGTCGTTGTTTTAAAACTAACCCTAGGTCTAAAAAAAATATGTTTGTTTCCTGTAACCCGACCGACCCATTCAAATTACCCCCCGGGTGAATTTTTTTTCTGACAAATGGCAAAACTTCGTTTGATCAATCAGCTGATTCCATTTATTAAAAAAAGAAAATTAGCTTGTAGCTTAACTTGAGACATAAAATATGTCAACCTAGTTTACATTTAAGTTTGATTAGTTATAAAGAGTAATCATTATTATAACAACAATTTCCCCCTACAACTTTCTGAAGATCGTTTTCCGCCGCTAGGCAGCCATTTTGGATGCCATGTTGGGTGTCCACTGTAAATATGACACCTGGTATATTGAGTCCAGGGATGTTTGACAATTCATAAGAAAAAAAAATCCCGACCTACCGACCCTTAATTTTTTTGGAATGTTACAGGAAACAAACATATTTTTTTTAAAGCCCTATTCAATATATAGTCATATAAAATTTCGTGTGGGATTTAATTTTGTTGGAATTTTGTTAACGGAATAAACAAAATTTAATTCCCCCGAATATTTGTGCTTTTACAGTATTTTTACCTGATAAACTATCATATGTCTTTCCGCTACCCCGTTTTTGCCATCCAGCATCTACAGCAACAACTAGTCCATTTTCGTTCATCTCTCTGAAAAATAGTTAAATAACAGACATCAGTTATTAACTGTGAACCTGTCTCCTTTAGAACACCCCCTAATGTGCATAACATTCTGCATATTTATCAACACAAATTATACTGTACATGACTAAACCTTATATTTATCAGTATATCAGATTCTATTAACTTGATCACTATCAATTATTATTAGGTATTCCCTATGATTTTCATTTGGGGATCAAAACTAAAACACGAGGCTCTTGGGGCTTGGGCCACAATACTCTAGGAAGTCACTGTCTCTGTCCAATCTAATTAAAATTATTTGTTAGATCCACTTGCATACTCGCTACACAAACATCTAACAACATCTCATTGAGGGTCACGTCAGAGGTCAAATTCTAATCAACCAATCAAATTGTCTCTTGCAAAATCATTGTTTATTTGTTGACGCAATTGAAGAAAATAAGTCTAGGGTTGTTCCGAATTTGAACTCTGAGTGACCCTCTATAGGATGTTGTTAGATGCTAGTGTAGCAATTATGCGAGCAGATCTAACATCTAATTTTGATTAGACTGTGTCTCTGTCACTCTTCAATTTTTTTTCTTCAATCAAATTTTCCTTTTTTAATTCATTCTAGGAATGAATTTAATAGCTACCCAAGTTATACTGTATATCCTGGGTTGTGCCAGTTTTGGCTTTCTATACAGCGAGGCTTTCATTTCAAAGCAGGTTACACTATTATAACTTGGATAACTATGAAGTTAATTCCTTATAATTTAATTCTCCATCAATAAGTAAAGAAAATAAGACAATTTTTCCTTCAAAGATGCATGCAATTAGTACATACATGTATCTTATATGTAAAATTAAATGGGTTGTTATGTTTGTGACATACATGTTAGTAATTGTGACTTAACCAACACAGGTTATACCATATGACCACTACACATGTATGCTAGACACCCATTGATCTGATCAGAAAAGCTCTATTGCGCCTTTGGCTCATTTGAGCTAAATAGTGAGATTTAAACTGAATTTATATTGTTTACACACTCATTCATCATTTCCAGTTCCTTCTGCAAAGCATCAGACATAGACTCTGCAGCAATATCTTCAACAGCTCTGCCTATCTCTTTCTGTCTTTTGTCCAGCATGGCATGGCTTACAGGTGGTATATTCAGCTCAGAAAGGAGACTGTTGACTTGTGTTGCACCAATACCAACATGTACAATTGCTGTAAATACAAATTCATAAATGTAAAAAAGAAATCAATCTAATCACTTTAAACAAGAAGCTTGTGAAATACAACACTCATCTTAGTCTCCTTTATTTTCTCTCTTTATTACCAGAAATTAAAAATAGAACCCATACTTTTAACAAACTAAACCCCTAGGGGTAATGGCAACAAAACTTGAAATGATCTACATTAGGATGATTCAATATCAATATGATTAATACAGTAATAAGGCTTTGCTGTTCTACAGAGAATTTTTTCCATCTGAATAGTCAAGTGGTTTAGAGAACAAATCAAAAAAAGTCCCATTCTAACTTGTTATACCCTTTCTATGATGTGAATATAGGTTCTTTTGTGAATATACAGGCAGACACATGGATAAATAGGAAGCAGACATTGGATTTCTATAAAAGTGAATTCCATCATATGGCATATTGCCAAAACAAGGTGTGACTGTGTGGTAAAACACAAGAGTAAAACAGTATACCAGTACCCACTTCCCTCTCCTTTAAAGCATATTTTGAAAAGTTGACAGACAGATAAATGGAAAAAGATCAGAAAGCTGAAATGAGCCTCTGGCTTCAATAAGTTAAAAATAGCTTGCCTTCTCATCAAGTTTTTATTCTGAATTAAACATTATCAGGGGCGGATCCAGGAATTGAAGTTAGACGGGCAGGGTTCGACATTAACGTTAGTCCGTTAGTCTCAGACTAATAAGTCTCAGACTAATACATTTTCATTTGGACTAATAAAAGTTGTGGCGTATTAGTCCGAATGGACTAATAAAGTTTTCTGGGGGAAAAAATTACCGAAGTTCTCGACAACTTTCACTGGAAAACCCGTATGTATTTTTAGCTTTCTTGCATCTTGGCGGAAAGTTATGTAATTCTGAGTCAATTCGGCACTTAATTTTAGGACTCATTGGAATGAAATTAAACATTTTAGGGATTATGATTTATCATGACTCATAAAGAAAGATGTCGGGCATTTGGATGTCGTAATCATTTATAGAGAATAATGAGATTGGGAACACGATCCTAGTTCCTGATCAGGCAATTTCAACAAATATTGGTATAAAACATTTCATGTAAACGCATGCTTTGTTTATTACAAAAAAAGTATAAAAAGTACCTTGAAATGTAAATTCTATTGTTTAATTATATTTTTGACGGACTCATAAAATTGCCTGTGGACTAATAAAATTAAAGATACACTAGTCCGGCTAGACCAACGCCGAAAAATGTTAGTGTCGAACCCTGGCGGGTTGGGCGCCAGATTCAGGCAGGGGGTCTGGGGGCCGCCTTGAGGCAAAGCCCTGGTGGGGGCCAAGGGGGCGAAGCCCCCCGAAGCTCTTGGAGTCTAGAGGTTTTGTAGGGTAAAAATGAGGTCTACCAAGTAGACATCAGAAACATTTCCTCGACAAAACTATGTTTTATGCTAACTTTGACAATTTCAGGGGGGGTGCGCGCCGGGTGTGCCCCCCCTTAAATCCGCCACTGATTATATCAATTTATAGATACATATACCTATTTACTGGCTATGAGGACAAAAGCAAGTTTATTGTCCCCCAAGACAGCAACAATTTCTCAAGGTGCGTCCAAGTTGCTGTTGAGGGGGACAACAAACTTGCTTATATTGGAATAGACAGGTAAAACTCAATCAGGCTCTTGTGACTTGACAATAATAAATATACATGTAACTGATGTAGGGGATGTGTACGTTAAACTTCTTACCTGCTGATAGCTTTGTATTTACATCCCACACTCTTCCATGTTTTTTCCCCGTTTTTACATGGTTAATATGATTACACTTTGTATTGCTGCAACAGACCTGAAATGTTAATGTAAAATCAATGAATCCCTAATTACAGGTCACTGTTCTAAATTCATTCACCATTAATGAAATCAAATGCTTGGGAAAAAAGAATTTAAATATGCATTACTTCAAATTACTTCAAAGAAAAAAATGTAACATCTTTCAAAACTAAAAATATGGATATATGGAATACTGCCTGTTTTATATGGAGAAAAATTCAAGGAAAAACCTTTCAAGGTTGTTTTTATACAAACTGTGCAAAAATTGGTGAGTTCATACCTTTAACAAAGAAGCTAAACCATATGTCAACACAGAAATAGTGTGTGAAAGTTGTAATGGTAAGCCACATTTACAACATCCCCGCAAGCCCTCAGCTAACACTCCAAGTTCTACTACTCTCCTCCCCTCCTTCCAATCCTCAGATGTAGTCACTTCTTCCCCATCCACCACCTCCTCTCTTTCCAGTATATTCAAATTTGGCAATTCTATGAATAATGAATAAAAATTATCACCATTACACATTCTTTATTATCTACTGTAACACATCCTGACTAGTTGACTGTTTAGATACACTTACTAAATTCCAAGAACCAGTTTTCAAAATAATTCATAGTGCCGATATACAACATATTTTTCCATATACCGATATTTCTCAAGATATTCTGAAATCAATCTAAAATATGATCTACTTTCTTTTACTCGACATTTGCTTGGGCCCCTGGTCATTCACATGTAAACAGACGGTGTATGAGGTGCAGCGAAGAGTTGCATAGCATTTGCAAGATCTTTCAACATTTTAAAGTTGATTTCTTACTCCAGATTGTAAGGTTAAGTAGTCTGTATTAATAAGTTAAAATCTGCATCAACAACTACACCGCCATTTTGATTATGAATGTAAAAGAAGCTATATGGTTGAACAATTTTTTCCCGTAATGCATTATCATGATTATATACCTTTCTATTTTCAAAACAATTAGACCGCTAACATTTTGTTTGTGACTTAGTAAGATCATATGATCCAATTAAAGAAAAATCATGTAAATCTCAAATTCAAATGAGCAAATATTCATTGAGTTTAGAATAGACTTTGGAGAAAATTTGTCCTGTCGTTCCCGCGTAACAATTAGTGTTGGGCCCATTGGCAAGCTGATGTCAATTAAAAAAATTTAGGTCAATTTCGGAATTGATTTCATAATATCTTAAGAAGTATAAGGAATTACGGAATGAAATTTGAAGGAATGAAGATTGTTTATATATGGATAGATATGGATAAAAAGTAAATTTGTAAAGCATTCAATTTAAAAGAATTTTATTGGTGAAAGTAGGTACCCTATGAAAAGAGTTCCATACCTTTATTTTTTTTTTAACACCTCAATTTTTTTTCTAAGTGATCTAAAGGCCTGTGGGTCAAATGAGTATATCTTTCATCACGTGCAGTGTATTAAAATAAAATACAGTAATTATCTTTGATTAGTATTGTCATGTAAGGTAAGACATCTGATTCAGCAAATGTAATTTTTTTTTTGTAACAGCTAGGCCTAGTATATATATATTTTATTGAAATCCACATATAACATCATGTATAGTTAAATTTATTATTATCAAATATGATTCAAATTTCCATGTTGCACTTTGATTACAATAGGCCATGTGGTTTTCAATAAAATACCCCCCCCCCAAAAAAAAATTATATTTTTAAAACTTTGTTGTCAATCAGCATGATCAGATGAAAACTTGTTTTTATCAAAATATATCTTTGAAAATTCAATTATATACTTGATAAAAACAAGTTTTCAATGTCTTAGTTATGTCATGTTGTTTTTCAATGAAATATTGAGAAAAATTCAATATCTTCTCTTTTGGTGCACATCTTTAACTATTATAATTTTTTTTTAAATAGCTACACGTAGTCATAGTTCAAAAAGTCTTTAGATTAGACCTGGTATATAAAATGAACATCAACAAATTCATGTACCTCCCTTTAATATTTCTAATATTTTTAATAGACCTATGTGTAATCATGGTAATTTAGATGCAGATATGAAAACGAGTCTTTTAGATTACGTATTTTACATGTACAAACCGTGATCGTGATCAACGCTGACAGGGGTTGCACTGGCGGAGTAATTGTGGTCTGTAAGGATAGCTCCCCTAATCCATCGAGTCAATTGCCCTGCAGATACTTTATCATATCTCTCCTTCTGCTTTTTCGAGACGAACCCATGGCGTCTGTACTTTGGTTTCACCATCTCAACCAAAGTTACCGCGCAGACCTTGACTTCTCGTCTGCTTTTTGTTTACATTATCGTAATCCGGTTCACATCCGCGAAATGTAAAATGCTTATTATATGTTTGTTTTCTGGCATAAAAAATCGTTATTATGTTACTTTCTATGGATGATGATTATAATTATTTGTAGAAACTATTAATTCTCTGCCGTATTGAATTCTTTATTATAACGACATTCAGACCAATTTCCGGCAGTTCAAAACGAGTTGCGCGGTGAATTCAATTTCGCCCCTTAATTATAAAATAAAATACATTTTCACTGTTAATTTATACAAGTACTTCAATTTATGCAAGTAAGTCAGTTAAGATATATATTGACTGTGTACGATTTTTAGAATCAACAAGCCCATCGGACTTCTTGAATTTTGATTTTCACTGACCCGACATAAAAATTCACTGGCCGCGGTCTTCGGACCAGTGAGTTTTCGTGAAGACTGTCAAAATACCACAATTTTATTTAGGGGCAGGCCTGCCCTGAAGGACTTCAAGGCCAAAATTCATACAAAAATCAACGCTTTAATGGACAAAATGGTGTTTCGGTCAACTTTGGAGGTTTATTGTAAAGTTATAAATAATAAATTTTAGGTATAAAATACAAATTTGAAAAATTAAGACATATATACGGTAGAAAACAACAAATAAAGATTGATTTTTAAATGTCACTTTTTCCGGGAAATTGTTCTCTCCTATAGGTCAATTCTTTTGTTAAAGTGAATACATCCTTTGGTATGTTCCCATTACACACAAAGATTGCTCATGACCTTAGGGTATCTTTCTTATGGATAAACTTGGTAAGTTCCTGTTTCACACAAAGATTGCTCATGACTTAAGCAGGGGTTTTCCTACCATTTTTAAATGGGTCCGGGGTCCGTAGAATTGGGAAAATTGACGCGAAATGCGTTCAAATTGGAAAAATTTTAAAAAGGACCAATTTTGTTATTTTCCCTTATAAATGAAAATGAGGGGACCAGAAGTGTATATATACAATTGTAGACAGATATAGAGTTGCACATTATTCAGCTGTTATTGGATGATAAAAAAATGCAGGAAAAAATTGTTATATTGCAATATACATGTGTATTCATGTAAAAAAATGTAATAAATGGGTATCATATTTTTAACTGGATAATGAAAAATTCCATAAAAAAATATTTTAATTAGTTTTATTGATTATGACTAAAATAAGGAAAACAAAATTGTTTTATTGAATAATGGGAATTTTCAGAATTTTAAAAAGTTTTTATTTATTCCATTCACAACTGAGAATTTAAGTGAACATAATTTTTTTTTTGTAATATAATAAAAAAAAAAAACTGCAGGAAAACATTGTTTAGTTGTACTTTACATTCATGACTGGAGTAAAAGATAAATAAAAAAAAAATACTTTGGCATAATATTTATGAAATTAATTGTTATCTATATTGATTTCAGTGTGTTAAGTAACATAAATTATAACAAAGAATTAAAAACATGTGTTTGAATAGGCTTATATTGATGAGAATGAAAATAGAAAAGTAGGATGACAGATTTTGTGCATTTAGGCAAATTAGTCAAACCCTTCCTATTTTTAGATAATGCAAGGAAGTGCACAGTAACTTTGGAATAAACTCACTGACAACTTTCATGATAACTACGATCTTTTATATGATCAGTATAGGTATTCATGTGACTTAAATGAAACAAGTGATGTTACAGTAATAACTAGTCACTTAACATCGTAGGTGATTTACCATTTATGTGTTGCATCACTTATATTTATAGCTCAATGATACGATCGCATGTTGACACCTGTTGAGATTTTCAGACGTCTTGCTGGGAAAAAAATATTTTACTTCTTTCTGAACTCTCTTAAATTTTTTTAAGGATGCAAAATTGGGAAAAAACGATTTAGAATTGGGAAAATATGACTGATTTTTTGATTGGGAATGGGTCCGGTAAACGGACCCAAAAACAAGCCAGGAAAACCCCTGTTAAGGGTGTGTCATGACCTTGACTCAAAGTCATCTGTGCAAGTTCAAGGTCACTGAAATTTTTTTTTTTTATAAATTCATGTTTGGTACATATCTTTATTATGGTAAAACTTGAATCTACTACTTCACACAAAGATTGCTCATGACCTTAGGGTGTGTCATAACCTTGACCCAAGGTCATTTGGGGAAGTTCAAGGTCATTGGAAGAAAAAAAATTTCATAATTCATGTACGGTCCATATCTTGCTTATGGATAAACTTGGTAAGTCTTATTTCACACAAAGATTCCTCATGACCTAAGGGTGTGTCATGACCTTGATGCAAGGTCATCTATGCAAGTTCGAGGTCATTGAAAGAAAAAGTTCATAATTCATGTTTGTTACATATCTTTCTTATGGAAAAAACTTGGTAAGTGCCTGTTTTACACAAAGATTGCTTATGTCTTGAGGGTGTGTAGTGACCTTGACCCAAGGTCATTTGTGCAAGTTTAAGGACACTGAAAGGAAAAAGTTCATAATCAACATTCGGTCCATATCTGTCTAATGGATAAATGTGGTGAATTCCCATTTTACACAAAGATTGCTTATAACATGAGGTTGTGTCATGACTTTGAACCAAGGTCATTTATGCAAGTCCAAGGTCACTGACAGAAAAGTTCAGAATTTGTGTCTGGTCTGTATCTTTAGTCTTAATTTTTTTTTTATTAGGCTGCACCTTAGTTTCATTCATAAAATATATAATGAGCAATTGCATTGCACTAAAAATGTTTTAGCAGTTCTCTCTTCTCTTAGATCCATGAAATATTCATGATTTGGCACCTCTGAAAAACCCTGCGGGGGTATTTTGTCCCGTTTGGACAGTTCTAGTTTTCAACAGCCTTCAATTTTACAAGTGTCTTTCCTTAGGATAGAAAGTCTTTTAATAAAAGACATAAATGACATGTTTTATGACTTTGGTATAACAAATTTAATTGGCTATTGTCAACATACCACGTACCTGGCCATTTTTTCTATGTTTGTGACCTTAGCTGCACATTCCAATCCCGACCTTTATTAAATTTGCATCACGCTCGATTTTTTCCAAACGGTCATCTGGACTGACATTTTCTTAAAAGTTATCAGTCCAGACAAATTTTTATCGGTCTTGCCGACAGGACCGACAGATTTCGACAAGTCTGAAATTGATTCCTTTTAGCCATTTTGCACATAAATAATTTGAATAGATTAAGTAAAAGGAAGCATAAAACAACAGTTGAATGTGTTTCCTTCTATCAAAATGTATAATAGTAAAAACTAATCAAACCGAGACCAGATTTTACGATACGTATCGAACCGTGAAGGAGGCGTATTGTTTCACCCCTACAGTGCGGTTATATGCCTTATAAAATAGTTAATTATGTCAAGTGATTATGTGTCCTTATTTTAAAAACAAATGAATTCCATTTTTGAAATTAATTTTTTGATAAAATTATAGACTTAGGCTGGAGTTGTTTTTTTTACTTTCAGAACAAACCCTTGATTCTATAGTTATTGTCAGTGATCCAGTGAAATCCAAGCAAGGAGCCAACTTTCCCATAGAGCCGTACGTGGTGTTAGAATTACAAGATGCAGCGGGACGGAGAATCTTCTCTGGACAAGATTCGAGTTTGGTAAAATTTATTTTCATTGCTCTCTGGTCATCGCAAGGCATGGTCCCAAGTCCGCATTTAGCTCTCTCCTATCTGTGGCTGTTTGTTCAAAAGTGCTGTGATCTTGAATGATTATATCTCTATGCTGTAATGTCATGTTCAGCCAATGAAATTAATTGTTTCTATTGCAATTAAAAAAATCAACTATTGGCATGAACAGTAAACAAGAAAGGTCTGACTCTAAACTGCGATGGGGTAGTGAAATTTCCTGTCAAGAGTTCATTTTCGGACTATTCTTTATTTGCATTGGTCTATATTTTAATGGAAGAGGATCATACATAGTGATATAAAATTGGGAAAAAAAATGCAAATCGATTATCTGTAATATTTGGCTGGGCATAATCGTTTATAATAGAAATTTTTAACTTAAGGATATTTGATCCTCAGCCTCTGCCAGGAAGGATAACTCCAAAAATTAATATTTAATTTAAAAAGCATCAATATGAGGCTTGAAAAGGAAAACTTCATGCAACAATTTTCATCTTATTCATCTTCATATGATTCAAGGTTCATAGAAGTCTTAGAAAAGATCTTATAAAAAGTTGACATTTGTACCTCATAAAATGAAAAAAATAAACAGTTTTAGAGTAGTAAGATTTTCTGGAATCGAGCCTTAGATACCAATGCTTATCATCAAGATATGAAACAAGTGATTTGTGATGTCTTGCAATGATAGCAAAAGCCTTTTACATTATGTATTATATACAGTAGAGACTCGCTATTACGGTGACGGTTTAATACGATAGAACGCTTATTACGTTGTAAATTCAAAGCACAAATCCATTTCTTAACAAATCTATACAAAAAAGAACTGTTTATTACGTTGTCCAAAATTGCCAGGTCTCAGTAATACGATGTTAAAATTCTGTCAAAAATTTTTTCACTCCGTGTTTATTCAGTGTTGATTGCTGGAAGACACTTAAGGAGACGCTAAATAAACATTGGAACACCTGTGCTCTGAGAGAGTGTTAACTAACAGGGCAGTTAGGTGATTAGTGACGCTTGATTGCATCCACCTGGACAGTTCCAGCGAGCCCAGCAGATTTGGAGACGTGCCAAAGCCATTGTTAAACAATTAAAGTTTACTCATAAATGTAGATTCTTCTTTATCTATCGCTATAATTTTTTTAAAAATTCTTTTATACTTTATTTCATACTTAGTTTAATAAATTAATTTAATAAATAAAAGGTTATATTTAATCTTATGCATGTATGCTGTACACAGGTACACATAATTTCGTTTGCAAATAAACTGCGTAAATAAACAGCTTGGGTATCAAACATAATTTGGACAAATTTTGAACTCCACTACAAACGTTTTAGCAGCTTGGGTAGTGGCTTGGACTACCTCTCAGTTGTCAGCAGAAATACGAATCGATAATTGCTGAACTGCTAATTGACCTCTGTTCAGTAATTAAGAAAAAAATTATTTTGACAGATTGCTTGTCTATTTACTTTGACCTTTTTATCTGAATAAAAAAAAATGTTGTTGTTTATTTAGAAATGACTTTTTATTGAATACAAAGAGAATAAAATAATCAGAATTTACGTTCTCTGAATGCCTGGATACCTATTGTTTTTTTACCTAAAATATATTTGTTGATCAATTTGCAATGAGAAAACGCACAGCTGATATTCCTATTCGCTTTTTCTGTATATTGGAGATTTGACAATTTTTCCAATGAAATATAATTAACTTGAATGTTTAACTTTAAAGAAATACTGTGGGTAAATTTACATTACTTTGTGGATTCAGAGATACTGCAGAAGTACTTTTTTCCGTGTGGTATTAATTAACGCTATGTACACGGTCACAATGTAGACTGTGTAAACTGTAGGGAGCGTAACTATTAAATGTGTAGCAAAACCCGAACCAGGCCAGATATTTCTACATGTTGAAGCTCAGCATATTATTATATATAGAATTTGAATTATATAAGTAAGTTACGTGACGAATACATTAGTATATTTAGTAATTTTCCAAAAAGCAAAAAAGGTTTTCAGTTTCGAATTTCCCGGCCTGGCCCTAATTTTCGTAACCCATTTTAAACACACTTTGTTGTGGATGCAAATGTTAGAATAAATGTTAGAACAAAATATACTTCCGCAGAGATTGTGTATATAATCATAATTCATATTCATACGATCTTATTAAGTATAATGTTGCTAAATGAATTTTCTGGTATGTAATCAAATATAAAGTTCAATGTTTAAATTGTGAAGAAAAAAAGTTCACCAGATTTCTGTGCAAGTAAAGCATCATTTTACCACCAAATGCCAAGCTACGGTGATGAACTAGGTCTATATTTTCTTGTTGAAAATTCAAGTAAATTGAAAAGTTGAATTCTAATTAATCCAGAATGGTTATACAACAGCGGACCTGCCATCTTAACTTCTCGGCAAAACAAACGTGTTTCTTCAAGCTCGCTAGATGTGTTTGATAATCTCATCGCACATGTGTAGACCAAAGCTAACTGGTTTTGTAGGCACAGGTATGTGCAGTGTTTGCTAGGAGACTGGGTGACAGTAATGCTACTGACTCATGAACTGTACACCAGCTTCATAACAAGACAGTGCAGTTTTTAGGTCACCTGAGTAAACTCAGGCGACCTATTGCTATCTGTTTTCGTCCGTCGTCGTCCGTCGTGCGTTAACATTTGAACATTTTCAGCTTCTTCTCTGCAACCACTGAACCAATTTCAACTAAATTTGGCACAAAGCATCTATGGGTGAAGGGGAACAAAAATTGTGAATTTCATGATCCCTGCCGCCCTGGGGCCTGAGGGGGGGGGGGGCCAAAACCACTAAAATTAATGCAAACTTTAAAAATCTTCTTCTTTACTCCTGGACATCAAGCAGTCAAACTGTTTGCATGATTGTAATCAGCAATGAGTCCTCTACCAAAATTGTGAAATTCATGGCCCCGGGGTCGGGGTTCTCGTGCTAGGGCGGGGCTAAATAAGTAGGTAGTGAAAATGCATTATTTCTTTGAAAATCTTCTTCTCTGCTCCTGGGTATTAAATAAACCAACTAAGTACAGTTATGATGAGCAAGAGTGCCTCTACCAAAATTGTGAATCTTATGGCCCCAGGGTCAGGGGTTCCGGTGTTAGGGTGGGGCTCTATTGATTATATAGTGAAAATACATGAATTCTTTAAAAATCTTCTTCTCTGCTCCTGGGTATTAAATAAACTAAGTCCATAGTTATGATGAGCAAGAGTGCCTCTACCAAAATTGTGAATTTTATGGCCCCAGGGTCAGGAGTTCTTGTTTTAGGGCGGGGCTCTAATGATTATATAGTGAAATGCATGAATTCTTTGAACATCTTATCCTTTGCTCCTGATTAATATACTAATGATCTAATTACATGTATTTAAGGTGGCCAGGATTTATTTTATTTTCAGTTTTACAAATCCTCCACTCAAGGTTTTTAATTTTCAGAAAAAAATTAAACATTTTTTTTCTTTCCGATGTCAAATTTGAGTCGGGATCGAGATTTCAAATTTACGAACTCGCACTTCCGGTTTTAAGATGAAATGGCGGGTAAATAAAGCTAGATCTGAGAAGATAGCTTGGTTTAGTGTAAAATTCATCGATACGAGTGCCATTCAAAACGTTTCACCCGTTCAAAGGACAAATAAAATGCTGACGACTTTGTTGCACAATGACATGCTGGTGAGATAATTATGTATTCGTTTTAAAAGTATCTGTCTGTAAATCATTTTCCTCCCCCAGGTTTTAAACTGCCCGTGGTAGCTATTGCATATTGCCAGCGACATTGTTTAGGTTTCTGTTATAGCTTACAGTCCAAGCATCATTCTTCAGAAAAGGGTTGCTTATGCATCAGATGTAATGAATAAAACTTTGGGAGAAGTTAAGTCCATTTGAGGAAGAAATAAACAATAACCTGAAGAAATAAAAAAAAAATTCAACTATTAAAAGGCAAGAATATACAAATATATACAGGCATGTAGTATCATTTGTATCAGCTAGAAAAATTATTTTACACTTACAGGGTTCGACATTCGCGCTCGTCACCTCGTCATTTCCACCCTGAAATGATTTCGGACGACCTGATTTTCAGTCTGGCTCGCCCAAATGACGACCTGGGACAAGTTGGGAATATTTAAGCCTAATAATGATGTTTAATATTTTAACGTAAACTTCATAAGACCTTCAAAACATCAGCCGAGTAGATTTTTTTCCTGCCAAATCTGCGTTCGATCAATCAACTGATGCAATTTCTACTAAAAGTCTTTAATAAAGTTTTATTTGAGATATAAAATATGCCAACTTAGTCAACAATCACCTTAAATATAAATAGTAATAATCATCATTGTAACATCTTGCATTTCCCCTACAACTTTCTGATCATAATGATCGTTTTCTGCTGCTAGACAGCCATGTTGGGTGTCCACTGTAATATAACACCTAATTAATTCAGTCCAGGGTTATTCGACCCGATTTATTTAGGCCTTCATGGCAAGTGAAAATGAATATTGTAAGCTACAAACTTTAGCATTCTGCATGTCTGATTCTGCTTATATTTTTGTTTGATAAAATACTAGAAGACATCTTTACATTCCAAAAATGTCTGGTTTACATTTTTTAATACAAAAACACAACTTCTACTAATTATCATAACAAATTTTAAACAATTTTCACATTAAGTTTTGTTTCAATTGATATTTTTTTTGGACAACCTGAAATTCATTCGGGCAACCTGTGATCATACCAAGGTTGCCCGAATGGCGAGACCAAATTTTGACGAGTGTCGGACCCTGCACTTAATTGAAAAAATGTTTACCCTACTCCCCAATACTCCCTGTCTGTTTTATGATAGGAATATTATAATTTTAGGCATCAAGTAAATTTTAGAACAATGTCTACACATTCACCTAACACATATTAAAAAATTGAAGATATATTGAAAGACTTTTAAAGAATTGATTTTTAGGTCA